CCTGCTTGATATACATACCCTGACTGTAAAGTTCAATAAATCTCTTCTGATACTGTGTTAGCTCAGCTCGGCTGGGTACTTCATCAATCTTGCGCTGTAAAATGGCTATTTCTCTGTTTCTTCGTGCCTGAATAGAAAGTTAGGAGGGGAGAAAACAAAACCTCTTCTTGTTCTCTTCTTAAAATGGATGAAGCCCCCCCCCAGCAATATTTTGTTACTAAATAATCAATTAAAAAAAAAAAAAAAAAAAAGCACATTGGCTGAGGCTCAATTTTTTTTGTAATTGATTTGTGACAGAAAAACTTTTAGAACAACATAAAGAAGTATTAGAAGTTACAAGACAAGAAAAATGTCAACAATTTTCTACAAGTAAATTTACAAAGAGTTACTCACCAGTAACAGCCGGATCTTTTGAAGTTTATCTTTCTCAGTTTTGTACTGCTGTTCTATAATCTTATTCGGCTCCTAGAATTTGAGAACCCAAACCAACTGTATATTACAGTAGCAAAAATGTGCAGACTGTTTCTTTTCTGTGTTTGTCTATCTTCCATTTAATGGCTCCCACAGTAACCCCACCATTTGCTGTTACTTTTTTTAACAATGATTCATAATCTGCATTAGAAAATTGAAATCTTTTACTGTAAACAAGTGCATTTTGCTAGCTTTTAAGCCTTTGATGTTTAGTTTTTCAGATTTTGTCAATAGTTTTTCCACTGCTTTACAACAGTCACACTTTAAATGAAGATACATATCGGAAGACTGTCTGTACTCCTTGTCTGAATGTTTATACTTTGATTCAGTGGCAGGGTTAAGGATAAACATGGCCCACGACAGAAAATAAACCCTCTGACATGTATTCTAGATTTCCTGGATTGTGGACTTCGAGATAACTTTTTCTTATTTAGAAATGTAAGATTTAGGTCTGCATTTTATTTTTTCATGCTGTGTTCAGAAGGACAGCAGCATCACAGAACCTGTAATCTACCTCATTTCAGAGGCATAAATGTATCAAATGTTTACCCACTGAAACTACAAGTAATTCAAGCTTTTCCTTTTCTGTTCATTCATTATTCATTGCCATCAGTCTGGATGCACTTGTGTTAAAGCCTAGCTTCTGACAGCTGCTCATGGCATGCAACGTACTGAGCCACTGAAAACTTGTGCTTTCATTCTTCAAATAAATCCACTTTTAAGAAAAAAAACCAAACAAAACAAACATGCTTTCTGAGGAAAACCTGTTTTTGTCAGAGGTATGCACTGCTCTTAACACAGCATCCAGAGATTCTTCTCTGGTACTACAAAGGAAGAAGTAAAAGGCACAAAAGCCTCTATGAGTTAGCCCCATGGATTCTGCAAAAACAAAGAATACTACAGCTTTTTTCAGTTGACTGTATTTCTATGATTATTAGCCTAAAATGTGGCTTTACCAGTGGGGAAGAATAGAATTTTTCAGATATTGCAACAGATACTTTAACATTTACGAGTATGTGCCAGAAGGACCTAAACCAACATTTTAAAACACAAATTGAAAATAAAAACTTAGGCATTTGCTATTACCTGTTCCTCCCCATCTTCCAATGCCTCAGCTTTCAAATTCTCAATATTTTGTTGAAGTCTCTCCATTTCTTCCTTTAAAACAAAAAAAGTTTACATTGCTTTTAACTGAAACCTACCCTTTTAACAGGGGAGAGCAAGAAGCTTGACAACATACACCTCTAATAAAATTGTGGAGCTGACCACACACTTATATTTAAATTCGTAAGATTAAACAGCATACCCTGCTTAAGGGTAACGCAGCCATTACTACTCATTACATAAAACTATATGCTTTTATCAAACACAGGAACAAATCTATTTCTTACTTGCAAATTGTCCTGGTTTCGGTCGGGATAGAGTTAACTTTCTTCCTAGTAGCGGGCATAGTGCTGGGTTTTGGATTTAGTAGGAGAAGAATGATCATAGCAACAACTGAAACATCAGTGTGTTAAGTACTGCTTATGCTAGTCAAGGACTTTTCAGCTTCCCAGGCTCTGCCAGGTGTACAAGGAACTGGGAGGGGGCACAGCCAGAATAGTTGATCCAAACTGACCAAAGGGCTATTCCATACCATATGGCGTCATGCTCAGTATAGAAACTGGGGGAGTTGGCTGGGGGGAGCAATCGTTGCTCGGGAACTGGCTGGGTATCGGTCGGCAGGTGGTGAGCAACTGCATTGTGCATCACTTGCTTTGTATATTATTACTATTATTACGTTGTTATTATTATCATTACTATTTTACTTCATGTCAATTATTAAACTGTTCTTATCTCAACCCAGGAGTGTTTCTCACTCTTACTCCTCCGATTCTCTCCCCCATCCCACTGGGGTAGGGGGAGTGAGTGAGCAGCTGCGTGGTGCTTAGTTGCTGGCTAGGGCTAAACCACGACACAAATATACTAGATCCAGCTAAGACAACGCATAAGTGACATGGAAAATGAAATTGAGGAAGCAAAGGAACATTACAATAGCAACAGCATGATACAAGACTGCAACATGCGGCACATAAAAATGAATGAACCTGAAGTTACTTGCAAGGTCATTTCCATTACAATCCTTTAGAGCTTTCCAAAGAAGGTATATGGGAAAATAAGGTTCCTATGCTCAGTCTGTGCCTCAGGGCACTATTTCTTTTTACTTCTTTTCATTCTATTAAATCCCATCCACTACTATTTAAATAGAAGAGAATGAAAACAATTCTCTCCAGTCATTATTTCTAGGCAGTCCATAAACACAGCAGTAAATAGGACAGCAAAACATAGTAATTACACAGTAAAACTAAAGCATGCTCTGAAAACTGCAATAGCTTCATCTCATTCTCTTGTCTCTTTTGGTGGGTTGGTCCAAAGCTAGGGGCCTTCATGAAGCCCTCCTCTTTGGCACCACACCTCTCCTCAGGTCACTGTTGGCTGTGTTATCCAAGACGACACAATCCATTTCAGGTTGTGAAGAGCATGGGTGGATAACTAGTACAGCCCGATCTCAACTTACATTTCAGTGTTCCCTGTCAACCCACCCCAAGCTGATCTCAGCAGAATGGTAATGGGAACAAGAAGAGCCACAGCTGTGACCAGTACAAAGCTGATCTGGCATTATATGTCTAGGAACTGCCCTTTGCTAGAGAGCCCCAGGCGCAACAGAACACTGAAGGTTACACTCATTTAGATGCCTTGGCAGCCGCCCTTACACCTCAGGGCAGGGGGCAACTCCTTCTGGTTAATCCAGTTCCAACCTTCCTGGTCGTCAGCCTTGTTACAGATACAATGCACTGCAGAACTGGGCAACTGTCCATAATCCTACCGTGAATCAAGCTGGTGGCAATATTCAATATGAACCTGGAACTACCAGTAAATGGGGGGTGTGGGGGGTGGCGACAACAGGGACACACGACATGATGATACATCAGGAAGAAATATAATGCTTATTTACCGAGTTGTAAATGAATCCTTATAGAAGAAACTAAAACTTACCCTACAATGTGCTTTGAACTCCTGCTCCTGGCTTTTTAGATTTTCATTCATGGCCACCAGTGCTCGCAGACTCTGTAATATGCTAAATTTGAAGATACATTAAACCACATTAGACTTTTAGTTTCTAATTTAAACAGATGGGGAACTAAAAGACATTAGAACAAGCTTAGTTCTAAATAAATTTCCAATAAAATCTGTATAAATTAAAAACCCAAATATCACCACTGATATACCAAGGTCAAAATAAAAATGTACTATTACACTAAGTATTTTGATGGTTTTGCTATGTTCTGATCTCATTATTGTGGAAGTTTTGAGAGAGACTCCTATTTAATTTATGTGAGATGAAGGCTTGAAATATGAAGAAAATAAATCAGGAAGGCCTCATCTACTTGTCAAATGTGTCTAGGGTTCTTCTGCTTTAAACACCTACACTTATTTTCACCTACAGATTGACACTTTTCATTCTGAGTGAATACTATGGTAATATCTTCCTGTCTTTGGAAAGCAAGCTGAAGAATTATTTAATTTTTAAATTTTAGTTATTTGTTTAGGTTGAGAAAGCAAGAAACACTGAATGATTGATTTTAAACCCACCATTTTTCACAATTTCAAAGGTCACAAAGGAAGACACTTACCTAGAATCTGCTTGGGATTCTATTGTTTCTAAGGCTGCCAGTTCCTTGTCCAGCTTTTCACTGTAACTCTTAACCTAAGGGTTGCAATTAATAATAAATTGAAACACACTTCCACACATGATTCATGGTACTCAGCTTTCCCACACCGCGGGATCAGTGAGGAAAGTTGTCAAACACCTTCACCATTTAATACATCCCTCTACACACAGAACTTCTCAGAAATGATTTAGCTAGAATCAGTGCACAGAAAAACAAAGAAAGATTACCTCAGCTAATGCCTTTTTTGCTTCCATACATTTTGCCTGCAGATCAGTACATTTAGCTTGCAACTATTACGAAAGAGAAAGAAAAGAGTTTCATTCTATATTCACGCTAATTACACCTGTAATGAAGAATAGCAGTATTTGAGCTGTTAATAATGGTTGTCTATTAAACAATAAGCCAACCATCACAAACACTGTCTTTTCTTGTCATCCACTCTGAGAGCATTTGATTGCAAGATTTCTGATTGAATATTTAATTGATAACAGCAAACATTTTCCACCTGACATTCTAGATGCATTAGGTCCCAGAATAAACAGCAGCTTTTACAAAATGGATGCCAACAGAACGGTAACTTACTGGATAGAATCTCTGCTAAATGGCTCAAAGTTATTTAGCCTGGTTATACTGGCCTAGTTTCACACCAGGCTAAGAGAGTCCCATTTTGTACTTCTCCAAATAAGTTAGGGTGATTGAAGACTTGCATAAAAGCACCATGGCACCACAACATAGACATGTCCATACCAAATAAGCAAGCTGGTTTATCATTTTCTTTTGTGTAACTATGGAAAGTCTAGTAAGAAGGCAGTTAGCAAAATGCCACTAGATGTTTCACTTGCCAACTAATTTACAAAGGCTAATTTCAGAAGAACATCCTTCTTTAAAGTCCTTATGAGTTAAGATAACATTGCAAATAGTAACTACAAAAATGGGACATGGCTTACAAAAGTAGAGCAGAAGTGTTGCAAACAAAGAAATGCACATTTGGCTTTCTGTTCCACTTCTTTTCATGCTGCTTTAGTTTGCTGATCACAACACAGAGCTGTGACTCAACACTTCACTCATCCCTTTCCACAGCCAAATTTATAAAAAGAAGGCTTTTTCATTGTTTTTCATATTTTTCACCAATACCTCACCAACAGACTGAATTCTAACTAGCTGAAAAAAAAAAAAAAATTTAAGCCTGCAGTCCACATCTCATGAAAATTGACATAAAGATTAAAGAACTATTTGTCATGAGAACTCTTGCCAAAACTTACTGCAGTACTGAAGCCAGAACTTCACACACATTTTTTAAAAGGGGGAGTCTTGTCACCGATTTCAAAAGCTGTCTTTGGCAAGTGGTAAAAAAACTTCAGCCAGGAAATTTTTACTTTACTAAAGTGATAAAAGGATTATATTTGGCTTACAGCTGTCAGTACTTTTTTCCCCCATATAAAAACATAGCACTGAGACTGTTATGTACTGGAAATAAGCAACATAGAATTAAAGGGTCCTCAACTGTTAAAATGGCAAACAGCATGATAACAGATTTAGAAGATACTTGTTTTCATGTGGATTATGAAGTTTGTTTGGCAGTTAAAAGCAGATGTGTAGCGAAGTAAGGAATCTACCAATTTTGGGTGGTTTACAACCATATTTCTTCCCCACCCCAAACTGCTTGCTTCTTCTCAGCAGTATGTGGAAAGCAAGCAAATAGATTCATTCATATGCCAGGGAAACTGGTAAAGGAGATTACTTGCACCAGGCATAAAAATGTAATCCACTCAACATATCTTGTTACTAGGCATATTTTGTATTACTAATTCAGTAGCCACACTGCTACAATTGTCTAGAATATGAGCCATCTGCTACAGTAAAAATGCTTTTGAATGTTGCAGTCACTGAGACTGCATACAGACATTTGCAGATCCTTTCTGCGTTCCGGATCACAACGGCACAACACAGAATCGCTGCAAAAGCTACCCACAACTGCTACGCTCGTTTACCAGCCTCTTACTGCTCAACTAGGCAAGAAAGATCAAGGAAACAGCACGGGTGGAGAACCGTGCTGCTGCACGTTCATTTTTTGAAACCTGAGCTAGCTGTTGCCGTTTCCTGATGTCACTCTTACTATACAGTTGTACCTAGGTTGTCCTCCCCCAAATTAAGCTTGAGCTAACTGCCTCCGAGAGCACAAACTGTTCTCACAACGCAAGGGCTGCGGTGCAGTGTTCTAGTACATACATACAAACTGAGCGTGCCTCCAGTATGTCTACATACTGCCTGCAGAAAAACTGCAGAGGTATGCGAGCTGGTGGACACAACCAGAATCTGTAGAACTGTACTAGAACATGCTTAACCCTGAGCAAACGCGCCCCCTTTTATAATAGGGCAGTGCTAAACTATTGCCAGTCGTGACAACAAAGCTTCTTATCTGGAAAGGGTTTGAAACCCGCTAGCTCAGAGCAGATGCTGAGAGCGCCTGCATCTGTCTTCATCCTACAATATACATGCAGCACATCTGTATCTCCCTTCCTATGTATTTGTCTTGTAGCCTTTGTGGTTTAAAAGAAGAGTTAAAGTGTGACAGAAACATACTGCAATGACTTAGGATACACTGAACATCCTCTCCCCCCCCCCCCCTTCTGAAATTCCAAAGATCTCATTCTGTAATTTATGTTTCTACTTCAGGAAAAAAAACCTCAAACCAATATGGGAATCCACACAGGATTTAACTGTCTGTAAATCCATACATTTTGAAAGCCTAATGCTTTAGCCTGCATTTAAATGCTAGGTATTGCCAACATTTTTTTTACTAACAGTTATCATCTTGAAAGGGCACCAAAGTTATGTTTGACAGACAGACATAGAAAATGCATGTTACCAAAATGTTAAAAGAATACAAACTTAAGTAAAAGAAAAAAAAAGTATATTTAATTTCAGTATATCATAATCTCATAATTACTGTATATCATAATACTTTCTACAGAATGGGGAGGAATTGTGACAGACATGGTTTACATTCAACATACAGTGAAAATAACAATTGTAGTGTTATTGACTATGCAAAAATGCTATTTTTAACAGATGGGGCATGCCAGAGGGCAGCAGAATCAGAAATGGATCAGAAGAACAACAAAACTAGTTTGGCATATTCCAAAAGAAATGCATTCTAATGTTTACCAGCTAAAACGCTGTCACACTCTACCCTTTGAAAGTCTTTTGTTGTGCAAAATAAATTAAGAAGAACTAGCACAGTTTCTTCATAAAGCTTTTCATTAAAGTCAGCAAAAAGAAGAGAGAAACAAAGAACAGGATAGGCAGTCTTTCCAATTTTTTATGCATAAGTTTTATTTCCATAGCTTTATTTAAACTTAGTAATTCTTGCACGTTAATCAGAGACTTCAAAAAATGGTTCGCAGCATATGCATTACTGAAAGGAGATTGAAGGATAAATATCCTTAAATAAGAGTCTTTATTGCACTGTTAGAAACTATTTTATTCTCATTTTAAAAAAGGAATATAAAAGTCAGGTCGAGTAAGCGGCTGAGCAGGAAGGTTTAAAATCTAGTGCTCCCACAGTTACACCACAGCAGGTAAGGCTTTCAAAGCTACCATTCTTTTACCTCTGCGCTTTGTAAGACTGAACGTATTGCTGCCTCATAAAATGCGCCATAGAGACACCTATCTTTTGGAGCCCCTGTAACCCCCAACATTTAATAGGTAAAACCAGTTAAGATGTAAGGCCTTATGACATTACTGACAAGAGCAGAGCAAAAAAACCCAAAAACCAGATGAAGACTGCTGGAGCAGTGCTGTATTTGACAGAGTACCAACCACAGAAGTCATCAGCAACAGTTTTTCCTCACGTACTATTTGTTTTTCGGCAAGCTTGTCCAGTTACTGACTCTGATGCAATACGTTTTCATCAGATTCTGCAAGCTAAAGATGGCATGGTGCTGATTACAGCAGTATGCATAATTAAAAGCAGCATTTCATTAATGCGTAGCTTTTCCACTTATACTTTGCTAGGTTTAAATGACAATAGCATAAGTACGCTGAAATACAGGAATGATAGTTCTTGCTCTTACTTACAGATAGGAACAGAACATCAGTCACAAATTCAAAAGCCTTTCCCCCCAAACCAAATGTGAAGATGTGAACCAAGCAGTGACTGTGCAAAAACACCTCCAAACAAACGAACAAGCAAAAACCCCACCTTAGTGAGGCAAGATCGCTCATACAAAGGACAGGAAGTAATAAAAAAATCATTTGCAGCGTATTTTAGAGTAGCTTTCTAAATTGTTTCTTGAAACTGTGGAAACAGCCCATTCAACACTATAGCTAACAAGTCAAATGGAGATACTCTCTCTGTTTTCCTCCAAGAGGAGTATGTAAAAAAAACAAAAAGCATGTTTTGGTTAGCTAGCCCCCTCCTCACAGACCAGACTATGCAATTTTTTAATGTAAAACCAGCCACGTTATCTTAGTAATAAATGTGCAAGCAAGACATTCAGAGATTCTGAAATGAATGTTCAGAATGACAAATTGCTGGTACAGAAGATAGCTTGAAAATCTTTTCTGGATGGCAAAAACTTTGTGATCAACCACATTTATCAATGTTTTCTTCTTTATTACACACACAATACTTACCTCTTCCAGGAGTTTGGTTTTTTGCAAAATCTGCTTATTCAGAGATGCCACCTTCCTTCTATGTTGTTGGGCAGCTCCAAGCCTTTCTGGTCGCTCCTCAGCAGAAAGCTCAGATTGCTAAAAAAAACCAGTAACAACAGCCTGTTGGACCTCATGCCATCACTTTTTGCTTCTTCAGTAGCTCAGGAAATGCCAAAGTGGGACACACCTGTGATATTCCTTATCAAGAACTGTGTCCCACTATCCAACAGAAAGAATGACTTACCGATTTATCTTACATTGAGATAAGGAAGCAGCTGAACAACTCAATTATATCCCAAAGGTAACAGGTAAAGTAAGCTAAAAATAAAAGTCAGGTGCCCTGGGATGGGTGGAAAATACTACAATATACTAGAAAAAAGAAATAATTTTTTTTGCATCAGCATTACAGTTAAACCTGGTAGAGTTCTTAAACAGAAGAAATACAAACATGCAAAAACCACCTTAAGCAGTGGTATTTACTGAACTTGTTGAACCAGAGATGCTCCATACCCAATAAGCAGATCCAGAACTTCCAAAAGCCTTGAACAATTGTGTATTTAGATTCTGAAGTACTGACTTGGATGTATCTTTATGCTGAATGACAATGACATACTCAGTGTGGTAGATACATTTACCACTCTAAGTGGTTTTTTTGTGTGTGTGTGTGTATTATGGACACCAGTCTTTGAAAACTCCTCAATCCAGCATACGTTGCCAAGAAAGTGTCTCATAAATACATAATGAAGACAACAATCTGGATCCAGTCTCCTGTTCTCTCTGAATTGTGAAAGGAAAGCTGCCAGAAACATTCTTTAGCAGGAATAACATTTATAATAGAAGTTGTATATTTGCAGTAGACAAAAGAATGATTAAAAAAATCAGTGATAGCTAGACATCTAAGCGATTGTTTGCCTAATCATTATTTGTACCTCTTGAAAGTCCTCACTTTAATACTTACATCCATCTGTTTTGGCAATTTGCTTCATGCACTCAGACTTCTTTTTCTAGTTAATCCATTTTCCAACATTTTGTTAGAAAACCAGTTAATTTTCAAGTGGTTCAGGTGCTAATTTGCAGAGTCTGTCACAGACTTCAATACTAAGTGCTTTTTGAATACTTAACCAAATGTTGACAGCCACTAGAATGTATAATCAGCAAAAAGGTTACAAAAAGTATGTAAAATACTCCTGACTTGTATTTGCTCCTGGTATCCACTCTACGCAGATGGGTAAGCAAGTCTTCATTAACAGCTTAATTTTAAATGAAAATAATAGGCAAAACCTGTCTCCCTCTTCTCCATTGTCTTTGTTATTCATATGGAAGAGCAGCTTAATGGTTTGTTATACTTTTACATCCACAGCAAGAAAAGACCAATTCTGACATCTTAACCCAACAATTCACGTACTTTCTTTCCATTTGTTAGGAAAGGAAAAATGCCTCTAAGCAATACCTGTAACACTGAACTATTTGACAAATACACACTCAGATTTACTTATCCCTCTCATCGTTTAGTCAAATCACATTCCCTCATCATGTCATGCATTCTAAGACCTCTTCTCACCATACAATTAGCCTATCTAATATGCATAACATGCAAATCAAGAAAACTGGAAATGCAAGAGAAAAAACCATGAGCTTAACCAGTCTGAGACTGATCTTGCAAAAGTAGTAAAAATACATACAGTACAGCTTTGGCATAAAGAAATGGTCATATCTCAAGAAGTGGACTGTTAAAGCGGGCTTTTTGAAAATGGGAAATAACCGTCACTAATACAGAGGTTTCTCCACAAAAATCCTTCTGGTCTGCAAATGAAAAAGCTAGGCTTAAGCCTCGTGCTGTCAAAGTGGGCTAAGGATCTGCTCTGCCATAACACTACAGCTTTAAAGTCACTGAGGAATTTGGTTCTAATTTGTAGAGAAAAATGCATCTTTCAGCACAGAAGGTAGAAAGCACAAATTACAGAAACTTCTTTGCTTTTGACACTATTGTTGTTACCTGGTCTCTTACTAGACTGAAACAGCACTTGCCTTTTGAAGAAAGCTGCATCTGAGCACTACTGTGTCTGACTGTTTAAGATTATTAATTTGGTACTCTATCTCAAACCAAGAACTTCAATTACATATGACAAAAATAGATATGTGGATACATCCCTTCAGCATTTCTGTTAACCCAGTTATCCCCACGACTGACAGGTGTACGCTCACTTCTGCATTCTTCCCCGTTCCCTGCAACTGCTCAACTGCCCTAAAAAGTTTTAGCCAATTCAAATAAACAAGTTAAGGAATGTTAATAGCCTCATCTTCTATGACAGAATTTAAGTTAAAATGCTGTATTAATTATGCATGAGGATCGCTAATCTATGGCAGCTCAACAACTGCTAGCCAAAATAAATGGCTAATTCTAGACTTTAAGAGCCTGCCTCCCACTGTTCACATGCAAAAGTTTTAAATGGGAAGGAGGAAGACAATATATGCAATTAATGTTATTCTTTCTAATGAGATTCTCTCACACACATTAGTGCTATAAACTTTCCAATAATTAAAGAAAGAGAATTCAATCATTACTCTACAGAACTTCACAACCTTAGGAGGAAAAAAAAAGTCTGTGTACAAAAATACAAACTTTGTAGCAGTAAATAATTTTGTTTATCTCTTCATGTTCAGCCATGCCCTACTAGCAAACAGGCTTCAGAGGTTTAGATCTGTGACTAACTCCGTTATAGTTGCCTCAATTTGAAGTCCACTGTCTGAAGCCCACTGGGGGGAAAAAAGTCTCCAGCCCCGTAACAGTTCAAATCTGTTTTCAGTCAAGTTCCACATACATCTTTAGCAGTCATTTCAATGTAATTTGCCATCATTTTTCCTTGACACTTTCCAGAGACTCAGGAACCCACAGATAAAAATCACTGCACCTCAATTTATGTTTGAGGGTTTCCGCAAACCAAAAAATATAAAAATATCCAACTTAGTAACTTCCTTGAATGACAACTTCTAACCATACTAAGTGGCTGAAATGCTTATTGTATGCTACTTCGACTGACTGTGCAGGGTGCATAGTAACCTCTGATACAGGATTCGAGAAGTCCAAAAACATTCTGAGTCAACTTCAAGACATAAGCAACTTGCAAACAGCATTAAAAACTTTTGAAGAGGATTCTCCTTCAGGCATTTTTGACATTTTTGAAGTGGGTAGCTTTGCGACAGCACTTCTCTAGTTTTAGTCATTCTCTCATTTTACCAGGGAACAAGCTTTTCCTCCTATTCTACTCCTAGCAAAACCACTTGTTACATATGACTATACTTGTAAATTCTCAGAGGAAGAATCCTTCTAACACAGTAAAATCAAAGCTACTTTGACTAACTGGCCTTAGAAACCTGGTGATGAATAGACAGATAAAAGACATGTTAATAGTTTTCTGCCAGGATTTTTAGAAAGTGAGGAATGACACTAGAATCTTCCTTCCCGTTTACCCAGCAAGTTAATACAGCAGCAGAAAGGAGGGGCAAATGCAGCAAACCATATTTATTGATCTTTCGCAAAAATGCCATCTTGTAATAAAGGTCCTGGCACATGGCAACATCAGATTTAGAATTTGTTTGCCAGCTATCTTCACTGGGCCTGTGGATTCTATTAAGACTCTGGTAGACAAATAAGCACTGCTGTGTTCTTCAGACGATGTATAGTTACAAAGGGTTAAAACTATTAGAACTATATCCAAGCGTTGCTGAGGCTTCAATAAACTGTTTGATAACATCCTTAATTCTCTTTTCCCAGTGCATGCATGCACACACATGGAAAATTTTTTTTGGTCGCATATAATAGATTTGAAAAGCGATATATTTTTGGTAGGACTTGAATCAGTTCTTACTTTCCAGAGTATTAATCATTGTTCTACTATAATAGTCAAGGTCCTGCTGCCTTCTCTCAGAACAGAAGAAATGTAACATTGAAATATGACCCTTGGGCTTCTGTTCTTCCAATCCTTTATAATAAAGAAAGGCCAAGAATTTGCTATAGACTCTGTTGAGTTATAGGGTTTATCTCCCAAATGGGAAAGCTCGTATGTGTCAACAAAAAGGAAGAAATATGAGAAGACTGTTGGACAAATAAGAGCGACCTATAACTCATATCTGGCAGTGATGTATTGTATGTATTAATTGCTTGAAAAGCCAGATTTTCTTTTCACATTACTGTAAAAACAATCACAGTTGAACACAATAAATGGAGTTAATATACACAGTTAATTGCCTTGACTTCTAAAAGCAACAAAGGTTTGGTTTTGGTGATACTAGCTTCAGAACGAGAGATCCAGGGAGTGACTGATAATTGGAGCCCAATATAAGTAAGATCCCAGTGTCTGAAAATCTGAGTGTAGGAGGCCTGGATTTTTCTCTGGGCAGGCCCGGAGAACTGTATTTCTGGACTTAACACTGAACATTTTAAAATGCATTAAGAGTTTGAATAGGTATCAACCCAGGACCTTCTTTATTCATTAAAACATTTAAGCAAGTGCTTAAACCCAAACTACTCATGAATGCAATTCGGGAATATACGCTGTCACACCAAAAGCTCGTGCGTGTTTAAATCTCACTAAAATACTTTCCTGAATCCTGGTTGTGCTGTTACCCACAGCATATACGACAAAGTGCTGTTTCAAGAGAATCATGGCAATTACATTGGAAGCTTAAGGCCAAAATTAACAAGCTATCAAACATGACTTGGTAAAAGCAGTTAACACCCTTACCTTCTCAGCATATTCCGACACTATTTGCTTGATCTCATGTGACTGGAGTCCAACAATCTGGCCAACTGTGCTTGCTGTCAACTTGCCCTGCAATTGTGTCAAGAAAATGTCTGGAGTTTTGGAACTGTCTGTGCTTTTTACATAGCAATTTCCCCAAGCTCTAATTTTAACAAAAATGTACAAAACCTTTACACTGGCTAAAAATCTCTAATCTTAAAAAAAGACCAAGAAACATTCCACCCCCCAAAAAGAACCCAAACCTTCACTGATGGACGTTTCTCACTTACAACCTTTTAGCAAATAACAGTGGTAATTTGGATTCAGATTTTCAAAAACTTACTTTGAATTGTATTCTGTATACTGATTTTGGCATGCACAGTAATAAAACTCACTTTTAGACCACATTTTGAGCCAAACTGTAACAATGCAGATGTGTGAAAGAATTCACCTTTCAAATTGGATCCATGTACAAAACCAATCTTCAAGTAAAACCGAGTTCTACACTGGATTTCAGTAGAAAGCATGTCAATCAACTTTGAGATTAGACTAATTACTACCTTTTCTTCTGTGAGTCCAGCATAAATAGAAACAATGTTTAACAACTGAATTTCTTCCCAGTCTTCTCACCCAGAAATGAAAATGTAAGCATTTTCAAAATTACTACAGCCTAGAAGTTCTATTATATCAATGACTACAACCAATTAAGAATTTGAAAACAAGATACACATCCAGTATTTTCAGTATCTTACACTAATGGTGGTGTTTATAAATATTTTTCAGTCCTTTGAAAAACACCTTGAAACACATACAATTTTCCTCCACTCTCCCCAGTAAAATGATTACTTCGCTGGGTATCTTCACAAGATGAATAAAGTAAGATCATACTGCATCTTGGGTAGCTGCACCGTGATGTCTTTCCCCTGAAATTCTCCTTGTAGAAACCATTTGAAAGAGGCCCTTATTTATATTGCTTTTATTATTTCAATGCAAATGATTAAGTCATCAGCCTCATAAAAATTACTGTCTTCCTAATTCAGCCATCTTTTCTTGCACTTCCTTCATGAAAATTTAAATGCAAGCACCCCAAGACTTCAGACTCACCATTAACCCAATTTTAGGGATAACTGCCATAACCAACCATAATTTAAACAAAGCTGTCTCAGTTTTAAATGGTGCTTACCTCTTCTGTTGCCATTGCAGCCATTCCAGTCATCAGAGTTCTAATGCGAAGCTAGGGCAAAATATGAGGAGTTACACATAACAATTTATCTTTTATTATTTAACTTATTTCTGCCTAGTGACAGGGACACATGTATACAATTAGTATCATATAGTACATGTATTTTAATGCATGTGATGGGACAATAAGTCTATGAATGTTAAATAAGAGGTGGCTAAAGTTATCATATAAAGGAAAATTCCTTACAACAGTACAGGTTCACTCAGAGTATTCAGCTCCCACACTATCAACCAAAAACTGACCTCTTAAAAATGCTTGGTTTCCAAAACAAATGTTGGATTTTTTGGTATTCAACATCAACAAACATTTAATTTTGTGCATTGATTTCAGGTTCCATATTCTCCTGCATGAAGCAACTCCCACTTCAGCTAAGCATGGAAATTTTCCTTCTTGCAGAGAACAACTGGAAAGTGACAACTGCTGCCCTCCCCCCAAGTTAGTAACATCCATGCCTACTGTGTATATGGCACACCTCTTCAGCAGCCTGAAGGTCGTCTTCATCACAAGGCTCAGCTTTTCCTGCTGCTGCAAGCCCTGGAGGTAGCGCAATTTTTTTATCTTCAGCCTTTGAAATAAAAATTAAGAAAATATTGTATCTAGTTCTAGTAATCTAAACTATTAAGACAGACAACAAGGAGAAAACTGGAATATAGCTGTTCTGTTTTCATGAATACATGTTAGCTACCAGAAGATCCTCACACTCCAATTCATGCCAACTAAGGTATAACCCTCACTGACTTCCTAAGTATTCCAGCTGTTCAAGACAGTGTCTCTGGTTTGCTATGGATACATCTGGCGCAAAGATCTCTTATTCCACAACCTTCTAAGAACTACCAACCTCACAAGACAACTGGCCAGAATATAATGTCTACAATATAGAAGAAAGCTGTTGTTTTTTTTTTTAAAACATAAATAATTTTTTTAAAACTTAATATAATTTAATATTGGTATAACAAACATACAACATAAAAAAGGGGCAAAATTGCCTAGTTCAGCCGGAAGAACTCGTACCACTAAAACAATGAGAACTGGTGACAGACAGACTAAATTTCTAAGTCACTCTATTGCACCACTAACCTGACTACTTAATCTTCCACTCCTGCCCTACTGGCGACTCAACTCACACAACAAACCTGATGATGTTCTAATAGACAACATTCCAAAGTCAGTAAAATTTCTGAAGAAACAAAATGAACTCTATAATCATGACTGTATCCTGGCAGTTACTTTAAGGGGAAAAAGACGTATGCTTAGATTTGGAAACATCTCCATTTATAAAATTTAAATGCTAAATTTGTATGTGAAATACTGAGATAATGAAGAAGGGCAACCTTAATGTACTCAGTGTATTGCTGGGTCCATGACATGCTTAATGCATTTCTTCATTATCTCTGTCTGTAATAAAAGCTTGTAGCTAAAGTAGTATCTGCACTGAAGTAATAAAAATACGAATACTCTGACAAGGACATTTCATGATTCCATAATCATCAAAAGCACAACAAGGATGCTACTTTTCAAGAGGCACTATGATTTATTTATGGCATGGTATCATGTTTCTCTATCATATTCAATAACCTGTTATGTAATAAATGCCTACAAAATTTCTTACCAAGCTGAATGGTTCTTTAAAAAGAAAAGGAAAAAAACTCTTTAATGATCACATCATGGAACACTCAACAACTCAAACAACACTCAACTTAACAGATATTCATTAAACAGACAAGATATATTCATTACCTCACATTAAAAAAGAAAACAAAACAAACAAAACACTCAATCCCCCTTTCTTCTAAGCGAAAAGTGTTTGCAAAATGTGATCTTTGAGTACGATGAAGGAAATGCTTTGAAAAAGGAGACAGTAATCAGTTGCATCTTTCATTGCATGCAGATTTTTAGTTCCAGTTCACCATTTTTAAAAGGTGGTAATAATAGAATTTATAGCTGTTTATTCTGTTGTATTCCTTTAACATCTTACAGTAACCAACACTCCAACAAAACCAATGCAATTCTTCCCACAAGATGAATATTTAAAATTAGTGTATTTTTACCTGTTCTGTTTTCCCTGCTTGTCTGCTAAATCCATATCTCCTAAAAGAACAACAGTAACATGAAAGAAATATTGTTGTTTACAACTTCCACAAATAGATTAAGTTTCTATCAGTTTTCAACCTAAGAAATGCACTAAGAAGGTTAGTTTTGGAATGCTTCAAATAAACTAAATAAGCAGGTACTGCAGCATATTTACAGAATAATTTCAGCTCCATCTACTCCTTCCAAGGAGTAGATTTGCAAGTCTAGACTGTTCATAAAATAGTCATGTGAAGCCATTAAAGGAAAAAGCAATGCTCTCTTTCCATTTGGAAGTTAATCCTCAGCTACTAGCTATTTATTTCTGAATTCTGGAAAGGCCTCAGGAAGTTGTCAGCGCAATCTCTACTCACAAAAAACATTCACATTTGTGTGCTTTGATGAATCTTCTATTTCTTTCTGCAGCATGCTGATCAGAGCTTTAAATATATACTCAAATAGACTTTTTTACTTCTTTTTTTTGAGGGAGAGGAAAAATTGGCTTTTGAGTTACATTGTTAGTTTGGAAATATTATCTTAAAGAAAAAACAGGTAGAAAGACATTTTAGATACGAGTAAACAATCATCTTCAGTATTATGAAGCGCTAAACCCAGCACGTACAGAGACATGTAAAGAAGTGATGTTCCTGATTGACTTAGAGCTAAAACTGTTTAATTCCTTAACTACTGCAGAAGCAGGACTATTTACAAGCCTTTTATGGCGAAAAGTTAAGTGATCCTCAGCAGCAGTATCAGTTGTCACCAGTTCTCCGTTTATTCAACACTCAAGAGGTAAATTCAGTCATATTTTATACAGCGTAACACCAGGTTTTCAAGAACTCCCCAACATTAAGTCCTCTCTACATTTTAAAGCTTAGCAGTACAAAGAATGTGACAGAGCACTACCCTCCCACAGAATATGCATAAAGCTGTACTAGTATAAAAGCATTTGTAATCAGTATTACTATTATTGTGTGTCTGTTCTCACTTTTTGTAGGAGCACAATTTTATTTTCACACAGATAATTGCATCCAAGTAACGGACTGCACCAGAAACAGCAATAACAAAACCTTAAACATCAGTTATATCAACAGAGAACCCAGATGCCTACCAGGCTTAACATTTCACATCTGTTATAGGAACTGACTTTGTATTTTGCTGAAAACCAATTGATAATATGCAAAGATGTGGCGATGAAAGCCCTTAGCTGAAACAGATTATGCAACTGTGTGGAAAGATGCTCACTGGCATCACTGCTCTCAAGCCAGACTCCACCCTACCACATTCAAGCTCATCCGTGATAATCTTTAAGCTGGAGGCCACAGGATCAAAAAACAATTTAGAATATGGCACTGTCACTGGCTGTATCTGAATAATGCTGCATTTGGCATCAGGACATTGCAAGACCCTATACTATTTGTTGGACTAAGAAAATTAGCTTTTATCATTAGTGTGCTACGAAAGGAGCCATTTCTATGATAACCAAGGGGCACTTAAAAGGAAAAAAAAATCCTCTACTCACGATTTTCTATGACTGCCATGTACATGCAGTAAAAGAATGAAAGATTCACTTTAACTATTTGAATTCTAAAAACATTCAACTCTACTCCTAAATCTACCAAAAATTTACTATTTGCCTTTTTCAGCAGTGTTGTAGTTCCCCTAACATTGTTGGAAGAGTGGACAGTAATCCCTACTGGCCCCACAGATTTCTGTATGTATCTGAGTCCTTGTGTTCTTCTTATTTTATTACTAGGTTCACAGCAGACATATTAGCATCCTCTTTAAGAGTTTCCTTGTCTACTAAAACACATGAACCAGACATTTGTGGGGCTCACTACTGTCATTTTCTCAGACATTCTTTATTTTTGCACCATATCAGAAATATTTTTCTGGCCCAGCGTTTTATGCTTTGAGAATCCATTATGAAAGCATTACCAAAACACATTCAAATCTTGCAACTATCCTAATTTTCTCCCACTTCCATTCAAGTCATGTTAAGCTTTTCACACCAAATAACTAACTGTATTTGTCTTCTAGTAAGTACTGTCCTTCATTCATATCGCAAATTTAAATAATCAGTCCAGCAAGTCTTCTGTCACACTCCATGCCCTTCAAACACCAAATACCTCTTCTGCATTTGTTCTTCTGCTAGGACTCTGCAACATCATCAAGATCATCTCAACAAATACTGTCTTGAAGAGGTATTTTCCTTCCCCAAATTCCCAAGTTCTTGGTCATCTTTCTTATTAATCCCAAATCACTCCTCATTATCTATGTACTGATGCACACTATACAACAGAAGAGCAGTTCCCTTGTATCTTCAATGCCTCCTACTTTTCTGTTCTTACTTCCTCTCTCTGTACCTAAAACTTTCTCTGTCATCCCTTTTTGGTTTTTTTTTTATATTAAAGATTTATCTGTTTTTCCAGCAGAAATGAGCTTTACTTAGGTCTCAACTGTTCCACAGTACCTAAAGCTAAAACAATTTGAGGATCTATAGAAAACATCTATTTTATTTCATTTTTCAAGGTATATACTGATTTCTAGTTTTGTCTTTTTTTTAAAAAAACAACTAAAATTACTCTAGAAAAATCATACACAAAAATTCCCTTAAACAGCATAAACTATTTTATACTCCTTTTATTTATTGCGAGATGTCTATTGACACCAGTATGTAGTAATGACACTGAAACAGCACAAGAAACTATAAATAGGCAGGAGTACACCACTTTGTTTTTCCATACAAGCTCTTTGGATTCCCACTGTGAGCACTGATGGGGTATCAATAACCTGAACTAAACCTAAAGATTTCAGCACGCCTTCCCCTGACGAGTCAGGGAAGAAATCCACATGCCAAGTAGAATAATCCCTGACACTGTCACCAACTTGCAAATTCTATTTTCACTGGGGAGGGAAGAATTGGACTCTAAAATGGATGAGGTAAATCAAGCCTAACTCCTTACTAGCATTAGAAAAATAGTAAGATTCATTCAAGACTACAGCCCACAGAATTTGTGAATGCTAACTGTGTTAATAAAACTAGCTGTTTAACATATATTGACATATATATATGAACATATATAGGCACTGTATATCCTTGTATATCCTTGCATATCCTTGTAGTTCTCTCTGTTTTGAATGGATTAAGCTCATTAGAGCAGCCAGTCATCTTAGGCTTTTAAATCAGCTTGCTATACTTCAGATAACTGCACTGAACTCCACTGGTGGCAGAAGGAGAGGAAAAGTTCTACAGTTAACCAATTCTATATAAAGTTTATGCAACGTCAGAAGACCTCTGCTGAGTAACAGGACACCCAGATGTCTCCCAGTAGTTTCATTCCATTAGGAACACACAGAGGATTTCATCCCACTTTAATGGAAAGTAAGCTGAAAGATGTGAATTTATCCATGCTGCCCTCACAAAATACCATGAATGAAAGGGGAAGAATATAAGCAGCCTCCAACCAGCACACTTGCCGATTTCAACCGTGTATCAAGACAAATGTGCAAAAAGGGTAAAAAGGAAGGTACTCAAAATAATGAGACCAAAAAAAAAAAAAAAAAAGCCCCACCACTATGGCTTTGGGGGAGAAGAAACTACAGAAGATGCAAAAAAGAATTCAATGTCATTTGCACTCATTAAGAGCTCAAACAGCAGAGCAGCTGTCCATATCACTAAACTATGAAAAGAAAACTGGAAAAAGAAACTAGAAACCAAAACACTGTAACATTATTTTTATCTGTTTGGAGAGCTCTCAGTAAACCAGGGGGACTTCCAAAAGTAAGGGCTAAGTGCAAACCTTGGTAACTTCGTCTCCATATGGAAGTTTGCAGAAAGTAAGAAGACAAAGCACTAAACCATGATTCAGCCTCCTGATGTAGCAACCACATTAGAACTACAAAAAGAAGCAGTAACAGCCTCAGCTCCTTTTTTCCCCACTTTCCAGGGATTGCTTGCAAAGATGCAATATTGATGGACAGACACTACCTAGAAGCATCATGAACTTAAGCCATATTTATGAAGCCAAGAACAAGTATGTTAAAAAAACATACCCTACTAGCAGCGTAAAGTCAGAACGTGGGCTCCCATTGTACAAAACACTGTTCACGCATGAGGACTGTCCAGTCCCCAGAGCATTTACAGGGTAAGCAAACAAAATCTGAAACCAAACAGGAGTAAATCTGAAACAGTTTGATTCTCAAGCAGTAGAAAAAAACCCTCACAATCCAAATTTTATATGGAATGCATCCAAATACACACAATACAAAAGCCACAGACAATTAAATAAAGCCTTTCACCTGCCATATTCCAGAAGCGTAGCATGAACCTTTGATTCTTCATCTAGCAGTTCTTCAGCTCCTTTCTGACGTTTATATTTTCTCTGGGGTTTGTAAACCTCCTGTAAGACAGTGAACGGATTCAGAGTTTGTAAAAGGCTTTTCTAAAATAAATAAAGAATTGTTATCTAGAGTGATATATACCACTGTTTGCTTTCCAAGTCAAGATGCTTACCCAAATAAACATCCTTCACTTTCTCTTTTTGGAATTACATGATAAAATCTTACTGAATTTACTTCTAAACAATTTGCTATAGGACCTGTCTTTCCAGGATTAAAAAAAAAAATTTAAATGGGTATTTAACAAACATGATTTCTTTAACCATCTCCTCCATCATGTTTGAAAGAAGAGTCAAAAATAACACAATCAACATCTATTAAAAAAAAGGCCCTCTGATTTAGCTGATAATGCCAGTGTCTAGAATTGCTACCTCCTTTGCGAGTTAATTCTATTTTTAATCTCTTATTGGATAATTAAATGTAATTATTATCTATTGGTCATCACAGGTTACAATGGAATTAAAGCAGATCTTATTGCAGTTTAAGGAACAAAAATATCTGAAGAAGTTTGGTACTAAAATCATTTGATCTCATGCTATCCCAATGTGATCCTATAGCTGGACAACAGCCCATCAAATAAAACAAGGATTCGTAAGTACTATTTTGTGCTGACAGAGTTACTTCCAATTTAGAAACAAAATGGAAACAAAAGGACAGAGCTGCTATCCTGACTGTTAAAACAGACACAACTGTTATAGCATTGTAAATCTGGCCTATATTAAAGTACATTTTTTCTTCCTCTTTCCACATAGATCAACTATGCCACTATAGAAGTCTATATAACAACATTAGAAAAATTATTCTGCCTCAAGCACAAACAAAACAAAATCAAAAAAACAAACTAAAGAAAAAATAATGAGATCCTCAGCTTCCCCCAAATTAGAAACTGGAACCAAAATAACATTTACTTTGACTGGAATTATTTTTGCTGTTTGTTTGGTGAAAGATTAGGGTGCAGCGAGTCTGTAATGCAACATTTTTGTTGCTGGAACAATGATTTTGAAGTTAATTAAAGTTTAGTATTTAGTGCTATCCTGCTAGCAAGGATACCAAAAAAAGAAAAAAAAAAACAAACAAACAAGAACCTGTGATCCTGAAGGCATTTTTTTTACTCCAATTGATATTTTTTAAAAAGCCCCCCCCAATCAGTTAGATGATATTTTCTCTTCTCCTTTTTCTGAAATGAAACTCCAGCCCTCATCACAGCAAAGAAAAACTTCATCATCACCACCAAATAATCAGCATCAAAAAGGAACAGCCCCCTCTTCTGGTCTGTTTTACACTCATATCTTTTAAATCCTTTGAGGGCCAGGCTCAGAATTCTTAGAACAAATACATTACAAAAGCAAAAGTTGAAATCAAAGCTTGGACATTCCATGTATACATTGTAACTTCAGAAAATCCTATTCACATGCAACAAAAGATTCAATGCAAGAAGTTGCAAAGATTCTAAAAGAAGATAAAAAAGGAAGATTATTTTTTGCTTGATTTGACTTTTCATACAACACAAACTATTATTTTCAACAAGCAATTCCTGCACCGTAACACTGAAAAAGGTTGAAAGCTATTTCAGCAAAGACATATAATCCCAAAACAGACATTTCAAACAAGTGCAAATAGACACTATTCCTTGACAAGTTTCTCCTGAATTTGTCAGTTACCCTTTGCAATTTTCACTTCATCTCTAATCTGAATTTCTGCCATCTTGGTTTCCACCTATTAAATCTTGCTACATTTTTGTCTGTCACACGAAAAAGCTTTTTATGATCAAGAATCTCCCACAAAATGTACTTTCATACTTACAGAAAAGCAATGTAAGTCATAAAAGTAATTTTAGCTTTTATGGTAGCATTCTATATTATACCTGTGCTACATAAAGTGTAGGCATCATACCATAAACATTAGCCTTGGCATCAGATAATTCATTAGCTGAACAAGACCACTGCAAGATAATCTCAATTCACTAGATAGTCACCTTTCAGCAGCAGTTCTTATTCCAATAACCATTACTGATATTTAATATTCCCTTTTCTAACCTTTAGGCCTGATTGTGACCATAAATCTCATTATATTGTCCCCTTGAGAAGAGCACGGTAGGTCCTCAGACCAGAGTTATAATAATGAATTCAGACAACAGACTGATCTTTCACACTTGCTGCGCCTCTTTTAGGAAAGTGGATTTCTCTTCCAGTTCCAATGAATAATGATTTAAAGGTGACCTGTGACATAGCCTTCATCTAATAGCTGCCTTCTTCTTCCAGGTTCCTATGGGTAGGTAGGAAAGCTTGTGCACTTTCTCCCCTGAAAATTCACTCTGCATGTTCTTCTAGACTGCACTCATGCCTTCATGCCTTAAGAGATCTCATGAGCTAATCTTCCATGAAGATCGGGTGCCAGCTGTAGAGGACATAATCCTGACAGAGCTCATATATTTAAGGAAGAGGTGTTTGTCTAATGATGCCCTGAGCAGTGATGAACAAATGTCAAAACTTTACCTACCATGAAGATGCACCTAAAAACTAGAGCTCTGTGATGCAGAGGGGAAGACAGAATACATCTGTATCAACCCTGCAGAGATATTCAGAGATATTTAGACAGGCTAGCTGAATAGTGCAAAACACTATCAAACTTTTAAGACTATACCTGTTTTCCTTGCTTTCCATTATCTGTTTCATTCTTGGACCCTAAATATGGAACTACTCTCTCAGCTGCAGAAGCAGACACATGCATATCTGATTCCAGGACCGTGACCTATGAATTTTAAAGTAACAGCTCTAATATAGCGGGCAAATGAAAACCAATTCACTGGCTTCAACCAGCAAAGAAACACCTGATCTGGCATATATATACCTGCTTCACCTTTGCCATGTCATTGTCTTCGAGCCGTAAAAATCAATTTCAGAAAACATGCAGGTAGATATGTAAACAAAACTCAACCAAGCAATATGGGACTTTGGACAAGGCATGGACTTGAATGGACCTGACATTTACTAGGTAACTGCTCACTGAAAGTAGATTGCTTTCCTTCTTTTCAGACAAGTTCTCCCAAATAAATGGATTAATGAAACAGAATAAACTTAAAAAACCAAATTATTAGAAGATAAAAACTAAGCCTTGAAATCACCTCTGTTCCTCAGCAACCAAAGGGATCCCTCCATCACTGTTCATCAACTATCTTCTGGGTTTTTTTAAATTACACTAAAAATTTTAGGTACTGGTGTCTCATAACAGCATTGTTACTACTCTGCTTCTGTCTCTTCAGCGACAAGGTTAGCATCAGCCACTTGGATACAGAACCTTTAGTGCTACTTAAAGACAATGCACATAGAAAATGGACATACTTGAAACACTTGAAAAATTAGGACAATTGTTCTGAAAATTCAAAATAAGCAGAAGCTCAATGAATTTCAAGTGCTACTTGATGCAACACACATTTGGAATTTGCTTTCTTTCATGGGTTTGCATTCTATCTCAATTTAACGGGTTATACCAGTACACAAATGTACTAGCGTGCCCCGCCCCCCCCCCAATGTAAGCAATAACCAGCAGTGAGGGTCATGATGGCTGCATCCAGCTTATGCTGGACTTTGGGGACGTATGGCAACACAGAGCAGGGACCCAGGTGTCTTGCTGGTATGCAAATATGGCTATAAGTCAATCATCTCAGTCCTTAAATAGTGGACAGCCCAGGGCCCATCGAGCCCTCCTGCACAGCAGTGGGCTGCACTCCAGGATCTCCACTTGAGTAGAGACACCTCTCAAGGTTACTCCTTGAGGTTGAGAGAATCCTTATCGCGTCAGATCCTCAGTAAGTGACTAACAGCATGCTAAACTTTGAAATTCTACCTAAGTGATATAAAGGATATATAATCCTTGAGACATAAACCGTTGACCAAGTCTGGGACTAGGACTGGATCTGGACGCACCTAGACTCCTCTCCAAGAAGGAGTTTAGAAAGCAAGGGGGTCCTTTCTGAACCTCATGACTCAACAGGAGGGTCTCCCTGACAGTTTCATCTGACCCTGTCCTCTATGCAGTAAATAATCAAGTGTACCTTGGCATCGAATCTTATTAAGCCACTGTCACATTTGTCATTGAACCTTGCTAACTCACTGCTCTATATCAATAAAATATATTGTTGCTTCTCTCTTACAAGTGCAGTGCACTCTCACTCCATCCGCAACAACAAACAAAACAATACTACCCATTTACAAGGGGAGATAACTTGTAAAATGGAAAACAGATCTCACTGGAAAGGAAAGTATTGCTGGTTGGAGTAAAAGACTCATTGTAAGTCTGCTAATAATTAAAAAAACCCCAACCAAACCATTGGGAACAACAGTTAGAGACTGTAATTGAAATTTTCAAAGCAAGAGTAATTATTCAAATAGATTAATAACGGATTTGCATTGGTCATCACCTGGAGAATTCCATAGTGATGATCTTCTATAAACATACACTGTAATTCAACCACATATATTAGGCTCAGCAGCACTCAGGTCGTTAATATGGAAAACCACCTCCAAAACATGACAGAAGAGTAAGATGACTTGTCTGGTCTGTTATACAAGCTATCATATAACTCGTTATCCTTGCACTTAACACCTCTATCCATGGATGAAGAGTTTAGGGTGTCTGGCTAGAGCTACCCGAAATAGCACTGATTTTCTCGGAAGAGTGGGGTTTCGCCATCTTCTGAAGAGCCTTGGAAGTGTCCCATTCAAAGCATACCCAGATTTCTCATCCCTTCTCAAATGCTGGCCTGTGAGCAAAGCGTTGGAGTCAGAAATGGTGAATTGACAGTCACAAGCGAACAGGGAAATTAGAAAGAAAGCAATGACAGAAACTCAGGTTGCTAGCTAGGCATCTGAATTCAGGTATGAGACAGTGATACAGCCTATGTATTTTACATGTCACTCCTTGTAGCATTCATGAACAAGCTTTCAAAAAATAAAACCAAACAGTTTATCCAAGAATTAGAAGATCTGCACCTGAAGAGGGAGAATACAAGTGATACCACCTTTCCCAAACAACATGTGCTACTGGAAGAAAACATTTCCTAAGTAGCATGTGTATTTTCATTGCTAATTACAAGAAGTAAAAAAGACAAGTTATGAAAGGCAGACATTTAAATTGAGGAGATCATTGCCATTTTGATTAATTTCAAGTTAAACAGTCCAACTGCTGATAGCTGCAAACAAACACTTGGTCTGCTGATGGTTTAATAGTCTGTAAGCCACCTTGTGACTTTTGTTTGATAGCGTGGAACTCCACGCTCTCTGTACATGCAGTTGACATGGTTTATCTACTTGTACAGTGCACACCTAAAAGGTTTTCAATCAGATATGTTGGCATTTGAGATCTGTTCTAAGAATGAAGCTCAACATGTAACTTAATTGGGGCCTTATCATGAGAAAACCCAAGATTGGCTGCATTCTGTTTAACAGAATTAACCACCACCATTTCATTACTAAAACCACTTGCTTCTTGACCATAAAAATCTAACATACTTACAAAGATATCAGTAACAGTTTTGATAGCCTTCTCTTTTCTTTGCATAAATTCATCATCCTGCAAGACATTAATAGAGGTGATTAAAAATACCAGGAATGGAGATTAAACCTCAACTGTTGTAATGAGTTTAGCAAAGTTGTCAAATAGTTTCTAATTGAACTGCCCAATTATTTAGTGAAATGTTAGCGATTTCCTGTAACACTGAAAAGTATTTGCTTCTCTCATCAGATAGGTAGGTAGGTCTTTAAAACTGTATCCAGATCAGCAGTCTTTCTGCTCTCTGCTTATACAGCACCTGACACAAATGCAATCCCAGCCCACTACTGGGATCTCCAATCGTTACTACACTACAAAGAAATGAAGTTGGGATGGGCTTAATGCAGAAAAGAGAAGTTTCTCCTACTGTTATTTCAGTTTCTAAGCATTAAAAACAATCACAAAAAAAACCCCAAACCCAAAACAACAAAACAAAATCCAAACCACCTCAAGCTAATAAAATCTGGCTGTCTTTCCCAATACTAGGGACATCTACCTTTAATGCTGTTACTGAATTAGAGGCAAACTTGGGTTCAAGGTTTTAAATATGGAATTGCCTTGGGATATGCATGAACAGAACTGATGGCTCTGCACTATAGGCACAACTCCAAGTTCATTCCAGCTCTCCTCCTACACCAAGGAACCTTCATATTATTACTGCAGCATAGGAAGAAAGGATCACAACACTGTTCTAAGCACATAACTTTAAAGTAGGGCAGCATTTGGCTATTATCAGAAGGAGAAGGAATATGATCAAGGTATCTCAAACAGTGCAAAATTACTGTTACCACTACACTTCTAGATAAAACTGCACCTCTCACTCCTCTGGCAACCATATTTTACAGAGACAAATATACTTCCTTTTAACCCAAACCTGTCCCTCTCTGTCTTTCCCCAAGTTCAGTTTCTGAATGAAGTTTTTTAGGAATACAGTTTTCAAGAACAAATCTGGGGGTCTGGATACAGGGAGACGAAAGCTGACTTAGAGCACTCTAAAACAAAACCCAAGTTATAGAGCCTTAACAGCATATCAATCCTCATTTAGCGAGAGCAGCTTCTCCACAGCGCACCAGGTGTTCTCGAACACATTTCAAGCAATGTAGCTCCAGTCACATGGTTTGCCTGGATACACTGCACAGAGCTCTATATCCACTCCAGAAGCGAGCTACCTGGCAAGCCAGACTGACAGAGAAGTACCACATATTGCAGAAAAACTAAGGCAACTATTAAGCAAAAGTTAACCAGTATCAATGAACTCTCTGTCATAATAATGTTTTAATTTTCTTCCCAGCTGAATTTCTGCATGGAGTCCTCTAGGACCAATTAATAAAATGATAGCAAAGGCAACTCTGGTATATTGTGCTGATTTCAGCTCTGTGAAGCTGGTACTGCACCTGAGCATTTGACATAACAGAAACAAGAACGGGCTTGATCTTACCTCCGGTAGTCTATGAGTTTTTTGAAACTGTGATATAGAGTAAGAACGGATATAGTCTCCCATTTCTTCCCTTGTTTCTATTGCACGTTTTACCAGCCACTGTGGGGGGAAAAAGTTTGTATCAGTGGAATAACAGCAGCAAACACTAGACTACTCCATAATTATTTTTATACATGATAAAAACTAAAAGCACATTTTAAGCACACAAACAAGAACATTTATTGGCAAACATGGTAACTCAGGGACCTACTCTTAAAAAAAAGATTCAGCATTAGCTATTTTATAAACTTCACATTTGCTCTTCTTCTATATACTAAAAACCTCACGAGCAATCAGATAATGCATAAGCTAAGAAACCACATGGCTTTTCTTATAATCAGTGTTTTACATATAAAACCCTAAATATTCTTCATCCTGTTGAACCATACAAACCTCAATGAGCCATACTGTTCATACTAGAGTGGGATTCAACAGTCCAAAGAAGATCAAACTGCCTTCCCTTATAAGCTCCTTGGAGCAGAGCCTGGTACCCCAAAAAACCCACTTTTCTGAATATTATTTGTAAATAGTGTATTGCAAAATTAGTTATTTTGTTGCATGACTTCCCCTTTATTTAGCTTGCACTGGAACTTCTCATATACTGAACTGCTTTTACATTCTAATTAATTTCTTATAGTAAGTATGGAAAGAAAATTCTATCGCAAATCTCAACTATTAGGAATTCTTAGTTGACAAATCATTTATAAACAAAAACATGTGAAATCTTCACAAGCATAAGCAAAGTGCATTGAAATTTTGCCAATATGAATTTCTGTAATCCAAAAAAATGGATCTTCAATAAAGTAATTCCAAAAAGGAAAATGAAGAGCATCTGTGGAACAGAAATGGATGTGGGCCACTTTAAACATTATTCTTTTAGCTCTCATCTGTAAGGAGGGAAAAAAAACCCAAAAACCATTCCCCCCACCCCCAAAACCTTAAGTGCCCTCCTAAAAATCTGAGTGGCATAAACCCTACATCCTAGCACAAGAAATCTACTAACGCTAAAAATACGTTTTACCAAAGTACTTTTCACCACACGAAGTAGTTATATTATCTATAGTACTCTTTGTTGTTATTTGTTTAATAACATTATGTTATCAAAATACAGAATAACACATAATATAGAAAAATACACTAGTTCATAAAACAAAGGAATGTTAATTTTCTGGCTTTCTGTTTTCAAATATTCCATGGGATACCCTGCACACCTCACAACTCACCAGACCAAAAGCTCAGCTGTACCAGCCAGCACAACATACATCCTATTCTACGCTCAAAAGCCCTCAAAACTCTACTGTACTCTAAAAGCTATCAATGTTGTCCTTCTATTGAGCAGACCATACTGAATAAATAATAAATCCCTCAGTTCTAGGAAGTGTTGGATTTACAGCACATACGCAAAAATGTGATTATACTCTGCATGCATACGGTTCATCCCTCTCTGCTCCAAAGAAGCCCTTGGGAGCATACTTAAAAACAAACAGATAGTCCAGGTGGCTTTTATACAGTCTGTGGGTTATGGTATAGTCATCCTTCCACAAAGCAAGCTTGAGCTGTTCACAGCACCCACCGCTATGGGTTGGAGGAGACGGGCTGGAACTCGGCTGGAATTTGAAGCAATTAGAAGTTGAACAGAAAATGTTCTGGGCCCTCAGTGCCAGGACCCCAACACTGAACCTGTCCCATATCATTAGTCCATTACACTCTGACAGAAGATACCACTTGGCACACGACCTCATCTCATTAATCTTGGCTGTACCCCAGGTTGAAGCCATTACAGCTAGGTTATATGCATTTCTATCACATTTTCCTACCACAGATCACTTACTGTTTTCAAAACCTACAGTTCCGCTGTGAAAAGACACATCTTCAAGCCTATGAAGTGTTCAAGAACCACCACATGCACGGGCATAAGAAAAAAGATGACTTCTGACATTTATACGACCACACAAAAAGCCACAAGAGATTGAAGTACATTTTAAATAGTGTTGGAGAAGATAAATCTTGTGGGCTGTTGACAGCCTGTGCAGGAGGTCACATAAGAGATCAGATCAATCTTGGGATCCAAGTTTGAACCAGAAACAGTTTTCTGTGCTATAACCATGAACCCCTGGAAAGTGAGGGGAAGATGATGACAACAAGAGAGATGAAAATGCAGACTATTAATTACAAAGCACATCTCAACACAAGATTGTGTACATACTTTTCTCTGTGAACATAAGCAGAATTTACTAGGAAGAACAGCACTGTTTCTGCCCACTGGAAATTTTTTTTAGTCTTTTTATTTTTTTTTTTTAAGTTCTGCTACAGTCTATGGCAGTGAGCCAACTCAATCTGATTTCTTCCTGTAGGGAAGGATTCATCTAAATTCCTCCTGTCCAGTTCACCAGAGTAGCTTGCAGAGTGCAAGAGCTATTGGGACACAATGCCAGGTGGAAGAAAGAGTTTCTGTATTATTTGGAGACTGATTTGAGATTTACAGATACCAAATGAAATCTTGAATTTAACAGGGCACTGAGTGAAGTGTCATTATTACGTAATTCCTACATGCGATGGTGTGGTCAGCTTATTATAACTCTTGCATGGTCTTTTTCAGGATACAGTATACTGGTACACCAACAAAAGTTTTCTTGAAAGCCTATCTTGGTTGGGACAAAATGAGGAACCAACAGTCTCTGGAGCAGGCAGAACTTCACAGGGACCTGATATAAAGCCACACATTCTAAAAAATATCCTCTACATACAAAAACCTAAGCTTGTAAAGAAGGACTTCTTCACCAAGTATGGGTTAGATATACCACCTACTGGCCAGCTACTAATACTGAGAATCACTGCTCTCAGAGAAATCTAGAAGCTGATTTCCTCCCTACTTAGAATTAATGTTTCTCCTTTCCAGAGGTAATATCCCAAATCAGGATTTTGGATAAAGCAGGTCAATAGTTTATGTTCTCGCTTTAGGAGAGGAATTATTTTTCCTGTGGGAGAAGTCTTGTATTTGATAAATGCAACCATTCATTATCATCATCATCATTATCATCAAGTGACCAGGGCAAGAAATTAATCTGGGTTGGGATTTTTTTTTTTTTTGGTAGGAAAATGACAAGTTTAGAAGTAAAAACTCATATTAACAAGACACAAACTTTCCACCTTAAGCAGCATGAGCACAGCTTGAAAGCTGTGTAACAGTAGCACACACCACATAACTTTCTGTGGGGAGTGCAGTTAAGTGTAGTTTTCCTCAGGAGCCCCCTGCTAGAAGATAACAAGAAAGAGACAACAGGAAGTTTTCCCCACTTCTTACAAACTGGAATTCAAATTAAATTCTTACTTGCTAAATTCTTTCACAGGCAGGCGGTAAGGAGATATTTAATGAAAAACAAGCTTGCTTAACAGTCTTCATTTTCCCTATTTATCAAAGAGACATTTCCATGTGCAGAGGAAAGTAAAATCAAAAAATGATAATGACATACCAAGGATTCTCAAGATACCACACATAACTGGAACACACCACGTGTTAGCTTAAACCTTAATAAAATGGAGGACTATGAGCATGCACATGGTCAGTTAGCGTTGCTCAACACCACCACAGCGACGGGGTCACCTGTCAGAGCAATTTTTCCACCCATACAGTTTTTAAGTGATACAAATGAAGGATGAATTATGCTTAAATAAACAATCCCAACTGGCTTTCACCTTATTCATATCCTTTTGATCAAGTGACTATCTGCATAGCTTATTCCATAAGCTTAAACACAGACTGTGCGGTATTTGTTCTATTTCTTAGTCTGGCAAAGCAGATTATCAGATTCCGAAACAAGCATAAACTTTAGTTTCTTTAAGCAGACATTCCACAAAAGGCAGTTGGTTTTGTGTTTTTCTTAAATGTGGATCAAGCAATACTTAACAATTCTATCATCCACAATATTGCTCAATTCTTTATAAACATTTGTTAAAACTACTTCTCTCTGATTATTCATTCCGAAGTTAAATAAGAACCAGATAATAAAACAGATCTTTGTTAAAACTTTTATGCAAGTTTTATGGCCTTTTTCAGCAAAGTATCGATACATGACAACATTATTACCTGTACAACAGGAAATATATGAATGAAATCCAGTCCCTGGATCTGATGTGGTTCCAAACGATGAGGACACTTCATTTTTGGTAATACTGACACAATTTTTTCAGTTAAGGCACTATTATAAAACAACAAACACACATAGGTATATATGCTGCAGTTTTCTTTTGTAAATTACATATTATTTTTGCAAACACAGTTAGTAGTTAGACGGTTCCTTGTAGTGGCTTCCATTGTACACAGCTGTGAAAAGCAATCAAACTTTCATCTACAAAATAGCTTTTACATTGTACTATATGTATTATTATTCTGTGAAGAGGTGATTAAACCCCTTTTGCAGGCTCCCAGCTTGTGATTTCATTTATAGTATTGCACACAAAATTTTAAGATCTGCATGTCTGGCCAGATGAAATGCCCACGTAAGATACATCTACAAACACCTCTGCATATTATAATATATACACACATGAAGAAACACTAGCTTTAAGAATAGTTACACTAAGTAAAAGATACGCACTCCAAGTCCAGAATCAAATGTAAGGATTTAAAAATTTGTTTAGCAGAACTCCCAAAATATATCTTGACATTACTGCTGAAACTTTATGAGTTTAAGTACGTATTACACCTAAAAGCTAAATACACAGTATACTTCACATGGTTTTGAAGGGAGTAAAACTGAATTTGCTGGCAATCATCTCGTTCTACAGCTCAGGTAAGAGCTGGTAAAGTGAAAGGATTACCCTAACAGAAGGGATTCATTTACAAGAACATCGTCTTGCTTCCACTGAATCCCTTATTTTAGGGCAAGGTATTTTTTTACTGCCAATGCTGTCAAGCACATTTTTAAAGCAGGTGTCAGCACTGAGGATGAACACTGCACTGGGAAAACTATTTTCCATGAAGGAAAAAAATTAACTGGTCCAGTACTGACCTCAGTGATATTCAGTACCGCCAAAACGGACAACTGATATCCTGGAAGAACAAAAGGGGAGCAAAGAGATACAAGACAGAGACTGAAGTCTGGGAACAGAGCCTGAAAAGTTGTACTTCTTAAGAGAAGTGAAAACTTTGACATAATTCTTATAAGGCAATTTTCACTATGGCACCATACTAATATTCTACAACATGAAAATTGCAGCGCCATTCAGTGCATTCAAAGCAAATGCAATTAAAAAAAATGTTATTTATCCAATAGATGCAAGATCGTCTCCTAATGTATGTTTCCGTGTTTACTTCATCCCAGCAATTAAATAATAGGACACTATCAAAATGTCTTCAGAATACTACAGAGAAAACCCAACTTTTCTTAACTTGAGAACATTACAGAAGCACTGAGCCACCACCAATATAAACATTACATGGACATCAAAACAGCCTATGCTTGTGTGACTCTGACCACTTTAGATTTACAAATAAATCATTGTTGCTGTTTTGGGAGAGGAGCCTGGTTTTTGTTTTGCCAGTTTTGCATCCAGTCAGCTGGAAAGACAACAGAACATTTTCAGAATAACTTCTCTATTTCCTATCCTGCTGTCCTTAAGGATAACAAACATGGCAATTACAAAAACTTGGCAATTATAAAAATTACCACCACCATCTTCATTCCTAGCCCCTACTTAATTCTGTGCACTTAACAATGCTTTATGTAGTTAGTTATCTATGATGATTTGAGCATCTCCAAGTTTAATGGCAATAACCACAAATCTTTATTTTTAAATGTGTTACAGTCTTGCTGATGCTAAATGACTTTCAAGAAAACAGCACAGAAGGATGTTCTTTTTAACTACATTGAGCAAACAAGTCTCTTCATGCAACTGTAACTTGACAGGCTACTCTTCCTGCAAATTTTAATTATGGCTCTTTTATCACAGAAATGCTTAAAGAAATAACGTAGTTTCTAATGTATTCCCTTTCTCAGCATAAACAATTTTCACAACCTCCCTAATACAGGAATTAGCTGGCTTATGGGCAAATTCCATGCATAAGACATGAATCAAACCAAAATGGTCTCACTGGGTCACTATCAGGAAGGAACTCCTCCTCCTCAGTAATGGGGCAGGTAACTGTTTCAGCAACAGTGTCATGCTTTAAATTCTGTTTGCTGATGCCTACAATTCCAACCCAGAACCATAAAGGGGAATCAGAGGTTATTTACACAGCAAAACTGCAGACATAGAGAACTCAAGGAAGGTCTTCTAATGTTGCACTCCAGTTTCCAGCAGCGTGGTCTCCCTCTGCCCTTTGCTTTGGCCTCTGCATCATCCCCTTGTGCCAGCACAAGCATCTGTGCAGCTGCATAGAGAACTGGATCCAGGAACTGATTCATGTTAAAAGTATTTTCTTTTTTTTTTTTGGTAGGTTTTAATGTGGATCAGTTCCCAATCCAGTTCGATGCGGAGCCACATAAATGCTTTCGCTGCTTAGTAGGGATCTAAGAACATGGCAGCCCAGAGGGGAATAGCACTGCCTTTTTTGGAATAAGCTTCTTTCTGGTTTTAGAGTTGGTGGAACTACAGTCTGAGAAACCTAGAAACCAGTGCAGTGTTTTGCAAACGGGTGATCTTGAAAAGCAGGAAACTTGGACTAAAAATCCTTCTTATAAGCAAGCAAATACCAGTTAACTTCCCCTCCCGCTCGCTTCTTCTTTTCTAAGAAGAAAAAAAAATACCACACTTGCCATTTAATCAACTTACATTTTTTGACCAATAGTAGAGTTTTCCTGAAACAATAAATCAACATCGATATCAAAGCTGCAAGTAGTGATACACCACGTCATGCCGCCTACCACCTAGTAAAGGAGCAACAGCATGGTTAGTTCCATTTTAATTTGAAGAGGTAAAACCAAATGCATCTTAATGGCTTATTTATTTTAGAAACTACAACTTAGTATTTTCTACACCCTCAGTATTCTTATACAAAGACTGAAATACATATAGATAGAATACATATAGCAAATTCTACATACAATACACGTATACAGGACAGCAGAAAAAAACCCAGCAGTTAGTGACATTCTAAATTCCTGTCTCAGCTTTATATACTAGTTGTGAAACAGATCTCAGATTAAAAAGTACTCAATACATAAAACACAACAGTATGTTAAATGTCATGACCTTTAAAAAGTGACCACATCAAAATTTTATCAAGGATCATACTTTCTGTATTCATATATTTACCTTTACATATACACCTTTGCTACTATTAGCCTCTGCTTGCTGACATACGCAACACCAAGTGCTAGGCACAGTAACAACACAGTAATGGAAATCCCCAGCTCTGCAGAAATCTCTGCTTCAGGCCCTATTCCTACAGATACTTCGGCATATTTAAACTCCTAAGCCATTTCATCAACTTTACATAAATTACGTAAATATTTAAAGACAACCTTGCATAAACACATGCAAGATAACCTAAAAGCACGCAAAGACAAAGAACAGAAAAAAGTGATTAAAATGTGGAATAACTTACCAATGTCACACAGCAGATGAGGGTATTCTGTATAAGGTTTTCTAACACATTACCCCTCTCACATTCCCGTCCGAAACAGTTAATCAGTATCCCTTTTATACTAGCAGCTAGATCCTTTTCTATAGCAATGCTCATTTTTGTAAAGGTTGGGCATTGTCATGAAATGGTAAATTTGCAATTGTATTTAGGCAAGTATAAACCTGATGCATCCATTTCTACACATAAACGCAACAATATTACATCCTAAGGCAGTCTCCTTGAAACTACTTTGTGTCTGTGTGCACAGCCTCCTGAGCAGCTAAGGCCAGTAACGCCAAGCAGTTGGAAGAAACTAAAATTGCATTGCAAAGTAGGACTGTGCTATGATCAAAGAAACAGCAGAAAACAGAATGGTCCATTTCAAGGCTGCTGTAGTTCTGTGTTTTCAAACCTCGGTTCAAGAATTTCTCACAGAGTCAGCACTAAAACAATGCAGAAGTCTCTTTTCAACCTGAACTTTGCTCACTGTCGGTATCACATACTTCCTGTATAGGACAATGAAAGGTTCACATACATGACATTCTAAAGATATGTAAAACCAGCCCAAACATAATCTCACTAGGCTAACCGTTCCATTCTTACACAGAGCCTCTCAAGACAAGTATTTCCTCATTTCTCATTAATGAGTACTTCTTTTTAAAATTACCACGCTATCTCCAAGTTTCAAGTCTTCCTAGCTATTCTAACTGCAGTTGAGAGAGGGGCAAGTTTCCCTACTCTAACTTAGGCCATAACACCCGCAAAAAAGCACACCAGCAATTAGCTTGCATCCAGTTGTCTCCTTTAAAACAGGTCTCGCTGCACAAAATCATTTTTCAAGACTGAGAACATCCTATCTGTCTGAAACTGGATCATTTGCAAAATTATTTACACATTTCCTGTGTTGTCTCATGTGTTCCAAGTATCTTTTTTTTTTCCTAATCACCTAGAACTGCTAAACTAACTTGCAAAAAATATGTAATCCTCATATACTTAAAAAAGTTTTTTAGACATACTGCATTGGTCTCACTTTGTCAAAGGGTGATAATCCTTTGATTCTTGCTCGAAAATACCCAGCAGCCACCAACAGTTCCAAAATTTCAGTCAACTTTATGTTTTGTTCCTCATCTTCTCTTGTTTCAACCTGAGAAACAAACAACACAACACTAATTCAGTGTTTCTCTTTCATTCTTCAAATGAACGTTTTCCAAACTTCAACTTAACATAGACAAGGGAAAACCTTGACTTCCATTAGCAACTTGGTTGTTAATTTGAAAGACATTAAATAGATAGGTAATGCATTTCTATGTGGATATAACATCACATCTTTTTCACCCCGTTAAATACTTTCATCTGCTTTTGCTGTTCAAACTCCTGGTCCGCTGCTAGCCTCCAGCTAGACAGACTGCTCCTGTTGCCATAGGACAGTTAATTTATTCTCCATTTCGCACATGTCTTTCAATTTCAGGGGTCACAAAATCGCACACCTCCCATTAACGCTTCTATAATCTTTTTACAAAAACAGGACAAGAAACTCGTGCGGAATTCCACTTTTTTGGGCAACGCAATTTTAAGCAAACTCAAAAGTATGGCAGTAACAAAAACTACGCTCTGACAGGCAGCCTGGCCAGTTCAGTGCGCCAAAGCCCCCTCAGCACAGCAGCCTTTTGGGAGCGCTCCTGTCCCCGTGTGACAGGGTGACACCCGCAGCCCCAGGGAGCTGCGGGCTGTACTGGAGGCACGGAGCACCCGAACGCCTCCGCCCTAGGCCCCAGGGGCGGCTCGCAGGGCTTCAAGTCTCCCCCTCAGGGGCTGCGGGGACCCTCCTACGCACCCTCCCCACCTCCCTCTTCCCCGAAACCTTTCCCACAGCCTCCTCTCCTGTCCTCTCCCTCCCACGGAGCCCACGCAACCCTGAACAGCCCGGCAAGCAGAGGGCACAGGGAACCGTGATGGTGCGCGGAAGGTGACCTAGACGGGCGCTGCCTGCAGGGCACAGGGCCTGCCCGGCAGCGGGGCGGGGGGACCCGGCCCCCCACGACCTCCCTCTTCCCCGAAACCTTTCCCACAGCCTCCTCTCCTGTCCTCTCCCTCCCACGGAGCCCACGCAACCCTGAACAGCCCGGCAAGCAGAGGGCACAGGGAACCGTGATGGTGCGCGGAAGGTGACCTAGACGGGCGCTGCCTGCAGGGCACAGGGCCTGCCCGGCAGCGGGGCGGGGGGACCCGGCCCCCCACG